AACAAAGAGCTGCTACTGTTTAGCGAGACAAAATGGTGGTGAAGATATTTGTGCTAGTGGTTCACAATTCAAGAGCTACCATAACAAGGAAAAACATAGCTGCTACTGTTACCATTCATATATTATACACAAAGTAAAACCATGATCCAGGTGTTTTACCAGAAGCTGTACGCCAACTGATAGCGTCTCATTTTGCTACTCCAATGATTTTGAAGATTGGCCCCAAATTTAGAGGGTGTTGATTTCAATTTGGCGGACAAGAGTCTTTGCAAATCGATGTGTGTTTGGGGGGTAAGGGGGGCTGCTGTGGCCAACTAACAGCAGCCCCTACAATTAAATTTCAGCCCTTGATTAAACAAAAATTAAGACAAAACCTGCAAAAAAATGGAATAAATTAATAAATTTTAAGAAGTTTAACCTAATTAATAATTTGGGGGATAGCAACAAGCGGGGAACACATCAAAGAAATCAAAGAAATGGAAGAGACACCTACTAGAGAAGAGCCATCACAAAAAAATTACATTACTCAGAAGTTGTTTTCACTCGTTTTTCTAAAACAAAATTCTTCTATCCAAAAATGAAAAAGCTGTTTACCATCCTTCATACTGCAAGGACATAAAAAATAAAAAACAGAGCCTTGAAAGCTCAATTAGAGTGAGAATCCAAAGTTTAACTCAAGTTGTGATTATGGCGTGATCCCATCACCAAACCATACAATTTCTACTGTTTTTCCTATCAAATTCTCAATAAAGTGCATAAAAAGACTGAGTGCTCAAACTTGAGAAAGCCGTAGTGACTGGTGGTTTTTCTTTCTTGGCCCTGTAAAATCCAAACACATATTGCAATTGCATTTACACAAGGGACAAATAAATTATATTACGGTAATGGGTAGAAGATTTTTTGCTGTTGTAATTTTGTAGATAAATAATTCATGAGCGTACCTTCTACTTTTCTCAAACACTCTCCTCTCTTAATTAGGTTAAACTTCTTATATTTTATTAATTTATTCCATTTATTTTCAGCCATTAAATTTTGTTTTAATTTTTGTTTAATCAAGGGCTGAAATTTAATTGTAGGGCTGCTGTTAGTTAGCCTCAGCAGCCCCCTTTACCCGTGTTTGGGAGTGTAATTTTACGCTAACTGGATATGAAATAGAACAATAATAATAATAATAATAATTTACCTTTCATCATGGAAAATTATTTCTAACACATTTTGTACTTGGCTTCGAATTTTCTTCAAATATAAGAACAACCCTTAGTTTCAAGTATGGCTTATTTGTTCGAAAAACCGACTTAAAAAAACTCCACACGAATGACATATTGATATGGTGAAAAAATGAAATTAGTCGGATCTTAAATATTCGGGATTTAAAAAAAATGTTAAACGGATGTAGTAAATGATTTGTGTGATTGACTACTTATATAGATGTTATAAATTATTTGTGTAAATATGATATATGGTTCTAATTAAAAAAATCGTTTTGAGATAAGATAATAATGGATCTTTTAAATGATGGATATATTTTACTATTTGCTTGATTTTTACTAACATAAATGAGAAATATTCGAATCCTATAAGAATTGTTTTAACCGAATTTTCTTAAAATTATGTGACAAAATTACGAAAGATTTTTTGTAGATATAATTGAATTCGATATTGCAATCATAATATAAAATATTTTTTTAAAAAAAAATGACATTTTTTTTTTTTTTTGTTATAGGTAATGTTCCCTAAACAATATATTAGCTTTTTTATTGTCCAATTGAGTAAAATCGGGTGGCATGTGTAATTGAAATTCTTTGACATGTGGTTTATTTATTTAGATGTGTTTCTATGCAATAAAATAGGTAAAATTTAATTTATTGATATAGATTTGTATTTATCATTCATTCATATTATTATATAAAAATAATTTTTTATTTATAATTTGTAAATTTGAATGGTAGATTTATAATTGGTCAAATAATATGTATATAAAGAATTCAGATTACATTGTGTTAATTTGTGCTATTTTATGTATGTCAATCACAAAGGACGAAATTTTTTTAAAGGGATATTTCGTTGTCTATTTGATTATAATAGCCCAATGTATCTGTGGAAAAAAAAAATTATACATTAATTTTTATTTAATTGATTATAAATATTAATTTAATTATAAATTAGAAAGACAAACGTCATGGCCAAACATTATTGTAAAGAAAATATCTCCACTAATTATCCAAATAAATTTTAAATAAACATGCTATTCAGGTTTTATTTACAAACTAAGTTCTCGACCAGCCAACCAAAACTCTAATTTATAAATGATTTAAATTAAATAACAGAATCCTTTGGATGAAACTGGATTTCAAGCAAATATTCCATAGATCTATGCCAAATATACTATGAAGTTTCACAAAAGAGTATACGTAATCTGTACTATAAATAATTTAAAATTTGTAAATCAGGTATATTAAACACGTGAAGATCAAAACTCATTTCTAAGAAGTAAGTCAAATGCTTTGACCTATATTTTTTTTATCAATTTTTTACAAATAATTTTTCCATCAACCTCTTTCAAAATATATAGATAGGAGAGAAAAATATTAATAACTCTAAATTTAATTAGAATTTCTTTTCTATTATTTGGTATATTTCCATGTTTTGTCGCATCTCTAAAGACATATATGGACCTAGAGATGTTAAACTGGCTAGCCCTAGCGGGCTTGGGGCTAAATGGGCACGGATTTAAACGTGCTACCAATAAAAGGACCTAACCCTAAACCTAGCGGGTTTCGGGCTAATCGGGCTATACGGGCTATAATAATAATAATAATAATAATAATAATAATAATAATAATAATAATAATAATAATTTACAACACCTAGTTAACGGTTTTTTTAAACGGCTATTTAGTATTTACCACTATATATATACAACTACACTTTATATATGAACACATTACAAACTCTTAAATAACATATTGTTTCTTAATAAAAAAAAAAATGTTCGAACTATTACTTATAACTACCATTTGTCTAGTTATTTGGTACGATTCGAGAATTTTGACAATATAGCGTACTGCTGAATTTATATTCTATCAATATATTATATGTGTTTGGTCTTTGTCTCATTTATTTTTTATTAGTCGTTCTGATTGGCTTAAATATTTTGTTGTGAAATATAATAAAATTTAATAATAATTATCTATCAAAATAATGATAATATATTATAATTCATAATTACATTTAAAGTAGAATAGCAAAATTGTAATATACAAGGAATCATGAGACATATTTCTTACCTTTCTAAAAACATATACACCACCCAACCCAAGTTAAACGGGCTAGCTCTAGCGGGCTTCGAGCGAAACGGTTCGGGCCAAAAAGGCCTGAATTTAAACGAGTTGCTAATAAAAAGCCCTAATCCTGTTTTTTTCGGGCTAACATTTCTATATGGACCACATATGAAATGAAGTAAACTGGGCTGAGCCCAATTTCATAATACCCAAGCCGAAACAAAAGTACAACTCGGCCCATTTTAGCTCATAACATCGCCCGCTCTTTGGTTGGACCGCTTCCGAGATTGTTTAGTGTGTCAGCTGCCTCGTTTGGTGTGGATATGTGTCAACCTTCCCGAGAAGATGATGATGCATTAATACATACGTTCTATGGATGTATATATATCCATCTCGTATTCACTTTAAAAACACAAACGATTTAGCTCAATAAAAGGGATTTCGAGAATTTTAATTCGAGATAAAAGGTAAAATGGCGATGCTGATGATGGGCTTGACTGTGCAGTGCGTGCTTGATTTCATGGTGGCTGGAATTTCCCTAATGATTGGGCTCGGCCTGTTCGCTTTCATCGCCTCTCTTCTGTGCTCTGCAGCTTTCTACCAGAACGTCAAGGAGATCTCTTGATTGATTCCCCCAAAAATGGTTATGGGGTTTTGGTGAGTATGATTAGTGTTGTCTGTTTTAGCCGTATTTCTATTTTGTGATTCCTCTGTGTGTGTGTGTGTGTGTGTGTGTTCTATGTATGTGTGTGCCTTTTGGGTGTTTCAAATTGCTTATGTATTTTTCTTTTATGGAGTTTCAAGATGATGGGGATATTTGGGAAATGTGTTAGTTTTTTGCTTGTTGATTGGACTGAATTGTTGATGTCTCATGAGGCATGATGGATAATGTATATTGACTGTACATTTTTTGATGGCTAGATTGAGAAAATGTGTTGGGAGGTCAAAATGTGGTTAAAAAGATGATTTGATGAATTGAACAAAGTTACAAACTCTAGGTTAATATTTTGATCATCTTATACTCCATCATAGATCCAATCTTCTCATTCTGAAGCATGTGAATTTGAAGTGCATAATAGGGCAGTTCTAAAATTTGGTCCACAAATGTTTGTTTTTCAAGTTATGAAACTTTTGTTTTGTCCCTTAGTTGGGGAATTAGGTATTTATTTTGATGAGGCTTGTTACCACCATTTTTTAGTTGGTGTGGTTGCTGTTATAGTTCCCGTGTATTTATATATCAACAGAATTCAATCCTAATGCAGTTTCAAAGGATTTTTTATGAGAGATTTGTGAAGGTGTTTTTAAATTCTAAAGTTCAAATCTATCAACAATAACTGACCATAAGGGACTTTAATAGGAAAAACCTTTTGCACTATGTTTAAAACGATGAAAAACGAGCAAATTTTAACATTTTCCATGTTCGGTTTTCCCTGTTGATCTATTTATTGGTTAGTATTAGATTTAGTGTTTTCCTTTCCACATTCATTGGTAAAAAAAAAAAAAAAACGTATGGTTTATGTGTCTTACCCAATATCTTAAGTTCATCTAATTCTATAATGGTCTTGGATGTTAAGCTTATTTAGTAGCTATCATAGCGTATCCTTAAATCCTGATTTAATTGTCATCTCTTTTTTCAGAAGTCTTAAGAACTCATTTAGGTATGTGATGAGGGCAAAATATACATGCATTACTCTCATGGTTTTGAGATATACAATCGTTCATATTATTTCTCTGTTCCGAATCACTAATACCTCTTGGTTAGACTTGGTGTTTCTTTTTTTGCCGTGTTTATGCAACAACCATCATCACAAACCCGTCTTGTATTGTGCTCTGTCTACTTTGCTGTCATCGTACCAAACTTGACACCTCGTAACTTTTAAAGTTTTGATTATCTTTTCTAAGGTTTAACAATAGCCTTCAAATGTTCCCTTAGGGTGCATTTTCATTAGAGATAAGCAGATGCCTGTGTTTTTTGTCTTTCTGAAAGATAACAGGGTTCCTTTGTAGTTAGATTCGACATTAGGGGTAGTTTTCAATGAATCCTTTCTTTGTTCGTCCATTTTATTTGTGTTTGGCTGCAGAAATCCTTGAGAAAGAGAAAAAGATGATATGCATATTTACATTATTCTCAAAAGCCATTCTTCACTTTATAGGTCTAATGATTTTATACGATTATTTTACAGGTTTCAAAACTCAAATAAAGTCGTCGGTTTTGAGTTGCAGACGCGTGCCAATACATATGTAGTGTTCGTTGTGCAGCAATGTTCAAACTGGGAGACAGTTGTGCTTATTTATCATGCTTAGGGGATTTGTAAAACATAACACATGTAGCATGTGGACATTTTGATATTACGGCTACATGAAGAGATATTACGGCTTCGTTTTGACATTAGCTGTTGGTTTGAAATAGCTTTTTAAGGCCATAATATCTAGTTTAATTGTTTATTTTAATGGTTTGAAATAGCTTTTTGGATCCAACCATTCTAATTTTACAAAAAGTTCAAAATATTATCTCTAGTTTAATTGTTTATTTTAATGGTTTGAAATAGCTTTTTAGATCCAACCACTCTAATTTTACAAATGTTCAAAATATAATTCATGTTTGATGTTAACGGAATGGTCTAAAATTAGTGGATTGAAACTCTTTTATAAATTTGACCTGTCAAATTCACTAATTAGATTGTTTGTAAATAGCTTATTTGATAAGTTTTTTTACCCCAAAAATGTTAATTAATGGAAAAACTAAATATAAGAGTGTTTTGATAGAGAGAATATATAGAATAACTTGTCCACATAAAATTTTAAAAATAACTTCTTCAACTTGCTATTTATCAAATATTTATTTACAAAATATAATACAATCCGCTTATACAATCAAACTATGGCTTTGTTTGGCGATCAACGGATAGCAGATTATATTAGCTAATTTGACCAGCGGATTGCATTAGCGGTTTTTAAATAAGTGTTTGGTAAATAGCTGAAAGCTTATAGCTGTTTGACATTGCAAAATGACCAATAAAGACATTATATTATTTAGGGTGTATTTTTTTAATAATAATATATTAAAACATTTAATATTCTTCAGTTGGTAATTTACTAACACTTGATGAAGAAGTTATGAATTTTATATTTTTCTACATAAATTAATCATATGGATGGCATATTATTATTTATCAACTCCATAAACTAATGTAAATTGTAAAATAAATAAGACAAATTAAAAAGTTTCAAGTAAAACCTCTCAATTATGAATCTTTTATCCCAAAAAGCTGCTCTAATGAACTTTTTCTAAATTAGAGTTTTGGACTCAAAAAGCTTATCAAATAAGCTATCACATAAGCTATTTACCAAACAAGCTCAATAGCGGATTTAACGGGTCAAACCTCTCAATTAAGTTCAATCCGCTAATTTATCTTCAATCCGCTATCTACCAAATGGGGCTAAGTTCAATCCGCTAATTTATCTTCAATCCGCTATCTACCAAATGGGGCTATCAGCTACCTGATTAGCTAATAGTCAAACAAATAGTTTTTTGAAATACACCATTATAATATTAAATATTTTTATATCACACAATTAATTATTGATCAACATTTTACACAATCATTTAATTCAATTAACTAGTTGAAATTTTGAACTTGTAGCTATATATGTTTTCAGCTAATTCAATTCGTTAATATAATCAGCCATAAGTTTCTATCAGCATTGTTAAATTTAACTGAATGAAAACATGTCAATCAAGCGTGTGCAAACCTAGCTAAAACTTAATCGTACAACTAAACGGAAGGGTAAAAAATAAAAGAAACGAATCAAAATTGAATTCTGCCATATCAAAAATAGTTTTTTTTTTTCTTACTATAATTTATTTATTTATTTTTCCGCTTCCTGGAATAAACCATCCCCTTTATCCCATCCGGGTCGGCCACGAACCCGAGTGGGCGGTAAAACCCGAGCACTCGGGGCTCCGAATAGAGCGCGATGTTGGTAATCCCCTTATCCAGGAGCTCCGCCAGCAGCCGCTCCATGACGGCCTTCCCGAGGCCGATCCCCTGGTAGCTGGGGTCCACCACCACGTCCCATATGATGGCGTTGAACACCCCGTCTCCGGTCGCCCTCGCGAACGCCACCGGCCGCCGCGTCTTCTCGTGCTCCACCCACAGCACCGCGTCGGTGTGGTCCAGGGCCAGCCGGATCTTCTCCGGGTCGCGCCGGGGGAACCCGACGGCGGAGAAGACGGAGTTGAGGTGGTCCAGGTTGAGATTCTCGGTGCTGCGGTGGAGTGTGAAGCCGCGGGAGGAGAGGGAATCGTCGGGGATAGAGTAGGCGGCGGCGGCGGCGGCGCGGCGGCCGGTGGGGCTCCTGAGGGGAGAAGGGGCAATCGGGATGCGATTTGGCAATAGCATTTTTTCGCCGATTTAGGGTTTTTGAATTTTTTAATAATATTTTTGTTTAGAAGATGGATGGATATAATAATGTTTGGTGTTATTGGATTTTGAACTTGTGGTTCATACGCGGCCATGTTCTCAATTGCCAAAACTCATCTTACCTAAAACTGAATCACTAGAAA